GAATCTCTATCCATTAAAGACGGATGGATGTCCACTGAAGAGTGAAGCATACAATGTCTACTGTGTGATATATTATTTTTAGTTTTTGGATTTTATTCTGAATTATTAGGCTATGTCTACTTAGTTATTCAATTTATTTCGGTTCTTCCTTGTATACCAAGATAGGAAAGAATTGCTTAGGAGTATATCCTCTTCTGTGGTAGATCTCAATTCTTCTCCATCAATTTATATAACCTGATATTGTGCTATCAAAGCAGGTCTGGAAAAGTCATAAAAGAGTAGTCCTTGACTTACGACCGATAGTTTAGCCACCATTCAAAGTCAGAACAGAGCTTCTAAACCAGGCTTGTCCAACCCGCGGCCCGTGGGCCGCATGTGGCCCAGGTCGCCTCGTAGTGCCCACCCCAACCTTCGTGCCAGAGCCAGCGAGGAGGAGGAGGAGAGGCAGGCACGAGGCGGGGCGAGGCGAGCGTCAGGCCAAGGCGCCATCAGAGCGCCACCTCCTGCTGTTACCGCCGCTACCACCACCGCCGCTTCTGCCCCCGCCGCAGCTTCTGCCCCCGCCGTTGCTGCCACTGCTGCCCCACCACCGCCACTTCGGCCGCCACTGCCGCTTCTGCCCCCACTGCCACTGCCCCCACTGCCACTTCTGCCCCCACCATCACCGCCATTTCTTCCCCCACCACCGCTGCTGCCCCCGCCGCCGCTTCTGCCCCCGCCGCCGCTTCTGCCCCCACTGCCACCCCCGCTGCCATTGCTTCTTCCCCTGCCACTGCTGCTGCTTCTGCCCCTGCTACTGAAGCAGTGGCAGTGGCGGGGGTGGTGGTGGGTTTAGAAGCCGTGGCGGTGGCGGGGGAAGAAGTGCCGGCGGTGGCGGGGGTGGCAGCAGGGACAGAAGCGGCGGCGGGGGAAGAAGCAGCTGCGGTGGCGGGGGAAGAAGTGGCGGCGGCGGTGGGGGCAGAAGCGGCGGCGGGGGCAGTGGGGGCGGGGGCAGAAGCAGCAACGGTGGTGGGGGAAGGCTTCTGCCCCCGCCGCTGCTGCTGCTTCTGCCTTCCAGTCCTGCCTCATCCAGCCAGGCCATTTGCAGGAGGAGAAGTAGGCGCGAGGCGGGTGAGCTTTCTCGCCCCCCCCGCAAAATTTGGCCGGAAAATAAACCGTGATAAAAAAACTGTGATAAAAAAACCGTGATAAAAAATAAATAATTTTTAATAATTAATTAATAATAAATAATAAAAACATCTCACTAACTTCATTTCCAAATAAATTTATTATGTTAACTATGTTTTCTATGGTTTTTTTGGATGATCAGGTATCGTTACTGTTATTTTATTTTATGTGCGGCCCAAACCAAATTTTCATCTTCTAATGTGGCCCAGGGAAGGTGAAAGGTTGGACACCCCTGTTCTAAATGGTATTTATTATCAGTGGTGGGATTCAATTTTTTACAATCAGTTCTGTGTGTGTGGCTTGGTGGACATGGCAGGGGAAGGACACTGTAAAATCTCCACTGAGAAGTTATATTTTGCAGTTCTCTGAACTACTCAGAATTTCTGCTACCGGTTCTTCAGAACTGGTCTGAATCTGCTGAATACCACCTCTGCTTATTATCTAATTTAAAACTCCTTGTAGCTGGACCTCTTCTGTGATCACATGCACACATTTTTGGGTAAATGGCAACCAGGCCACATGTACGACCATTTGCAATATCCCACAATCATGTGACCATGATTTTCAGCATTTTTTGGGTTTGTGTGTGTGTGTGTGTGTGGGTATGTCAGAATCTAGGGTTCATTTCTGGTTTACAGCAAAAAAAGGTCCATTGGGGAAAATAGGTTTGCTTAACGACTGCTGCTTTCACTTAATGAATATTGTAAAAAAACAAACAAACATAAAATTGGCTGGCTTAACGACCGCCATGATTTACAACCATAATTCTATGCCCAATTCCAGTTGTAATTTGAGGTCTACATGTTTAGGAAGCCCTTGCTTGTCCATAGATCACCAAAGGGGATCATGTGATCCCAGGACACTGCACCTGTCATAAGTATGAACCGTTTTGTCATGCCCCTGGTGCAGACTCTGAGGCAGAGGAGGAACAGCCAACAGGGAGTGGAAGTGTGGCTCTGGAGGTTGTGGAGGAAGCTTGGGAAAGGTAGAGGCCGGCTGGGCAGTCAGAGGAAGAACCAGGCCCATCCCTTATCTATCCTAGGGCATGCAGGGAGGAGAGGATAAGGGAGAGACATGGTCTACTCAGGAAGAGAGGGCCTTGAACCTCTTCATCGGCTGCAGCTGTGACAACTGAATAAGAGGATGGCCATGTGTATGGGCGAACGCTGGAAACAAAGCGTTATCTTTAGTTTATGGTTTCTTTCTGAGTTTGGCATCCTTCCCAATGTGTGTTCTGTTATCTGCGGACATCTTCCAGCCCTTATCTTGCCTGGCTTGTGTTGCTTTTTCCCTCCTTCTTGTAACTTTTTGTGTGGGAGTTTTTTGTCTTCCGTCAAGGATATTTGAAGCTTGGAAGCAAAGTGAAGCAATAAAAGGGGCTTCACCGGGGTTTTGTGACTGTGTTTGTGTTGTATTCCACCCTGGGTCATCATACAGTTGCCAAACATCCAACTTTTGATCACATGACCTTGGGGATGCTGCAATGGTTGCAAGTGTGAAAAACAGTCATACTTTTTTCAGTGCCATTGTAACTTTGTACGGTCACCAAACCAATTGTTGTAAGTCAAGGACTACTTGTACTAGAAGTTTCTTCACCGAATTCAAAATCCGAATGCCAATATTCCAAAAATATTTGGCCTATGTATTGTAAAGTGTTCACTATTTGCCATTCTTCTTTTTTCCATGTTTCTTCTGTGTTGCTCCTCAGCTACTAGAGAGCAGATTCTTACAAAGAACAGGGAGTGTGATTATTTTATGGTGCTTGACAAAATGTTTTTAAATTAGTTTGTGATGTCTGAGAAGTCTTAATGTTTGTTTTCCAAAATCATGGGTGTTGGTTATAATGTGCTTAGAAATCTATTTTGTGGTCTCTTGATTTTGAAGAATAACATTTGAAATGTCAGAAATCTTTGAAGCATTTTCTGATGTTTGTGTAATGTCAGAAAATGCTTGTGTACTCTTGTCAGAAAATGCTTATGTACTCTTTGAGTCAATTGGTCTTAATAAGTCTTATTTTATTTTGTTTTTCTTTTTTTCTCTTTATGGACTAATTGTGAGTTTGTTATTATTATTATTATTATTATTTTTGAGTCATGATTGCATGGTTAGAATAGGATCCTCAAGCATCTCCCCACCATCCAATTTATATTCTGAAAATAAAGATTTTGATTAGGCCAAATGTTTCTGTATTGTATATGTTAGTGTTTCTTGAATCAGCTGCTTGGAACAGAAGTCCAGGTATCATCAATCCATCAAGTTGGAGAAATCTATTCTCCAAAGCACCAGAAGGCAAGATAAGACAAGAAGCAATGGATGAAAACTAATCAAGGACAGAAGCAACCTGGAATTAAGGAGGAATTTCCTGACATTGAGAACAATTATCTAGTGGAACAGCTTGGCTCCAGAAGTTGCGGGTGCCCCAAACACTTGAGGTTTTAAAGAAGAGATTGGACAACCATTTATCTGAAATGGTATAGAGCTTCCTGTCTGAGCAGGGGGTTGGACTAGAAGACCTCCAAGGTCCCTTCCAACTCTATTATTCTGTTAGTCTGGTCTAAGTCCAACATGCTACAATATATGAGAAGTCTATTAAATAATTTGAAAATATGACCCTTCCTTCCACTTCTGTTTCTTTAAAATTGCGCACAAGAAATTATCGTATTAAATTGGAATTATACTCTTCACAAATTATTTTGTAGCTGTGGTTTGTGAGCCATCTTTTGCGGAAACTTTCTTCACCATGCTATTTCATTTCTTCTCTTAGAGATTCTTAGATGGATTTGTGGATTGAGCAATGAATGCCTTATGCACTGTCATGAGGAAAATATGGTGTACATATCTCTCATTGTACCCATTGGACTGGTTAAAACATTCTTTTCCTCCTAACAATTAAGTATAAAAGAAACAGGGGGAAAAAAAGGCAGGGACAGGATAACCATTTACTTGCTTCCTGAAATTACTATTTAGTTTCTAGCATGTTATGTAGTGTCTTGATGTAGTTTCTGAATGACATAAGGATCTATTCAAGGAGAAACAAAATGGAGGGAGATACTTCAGCTAGGACTGCCTAGTATATTTGGTGTGTATTCTTGCACATTATATGATTCATTGCTATTTCTTGGATTTAGGATTCCTTTGATGTGGCATTCCAGTAAAGGGTTTTCCAAGGCTACACTATTCATCCCTCTACTTCACTTACAAAGATAAATTGACTTAATTCTGTTGCTTTTTCTTTCTTTTATATAGTGCTTTATTGCTGGGTTGTAAGCTGCCTAAGGTTTAGCCAGCCATGATAAGCCATGCTGGATATAGAAGCTATGAGATCAATTGCAAGGATGTTAGAAAGATTACTCATTACCTCCAAGAACTCCCATTCGAGTCTGATTGGGTGGCACCTGGCTGAAAGATTTAGGATGGAGAGTCAATCAGTGATGAAAGAGAAACTCGATGGGAAATTGTAAATAATTGTAATTCAATGAACTGCACCCAGAAGATTGCAGCCCATGTAGAAAGGAAAAAGGTCTTCTTTGCACAAGCAATTGGAAATAAGTGTGGAGGTTAGAGGATTTTGATGGGATCAAATCTCCAGAAAAGAATGAAATTGTGGGGGAACTCTGAGAAGAAGTGGTACGAATACATGGACCCAAGACCTTTGTTCTCAAATTGATGCTGATACGGGGAAGAGTGAAACCCCTTTTTCTCCAGCATCAACCTTAAGTCTTTGTTCTAACACCCAGAGAAATTAGCCATTTCCCTCTTCATTCCAGAACTCATCCCTCAATGTTGCTCAGTCCCCAATTTGTTGAAAAAAAATGGGCATAACCCAAGAGACCTGTGAGTTGGTTTGCTTTTATTTAGCCAGCAGCCAAATACATAAGTGTGTAAACTATTTACAAGGATTTGGATCCAACACCGTGAGAGACAAATCTAGGAGGACAACACATGTTTGAGTCTTCAACGTTTACCTGAAGTTTTCTGTATGTTCTTCTGGGTGAACTTCATTTCAAGGGCTTCATGGACGACCATACAGCTATATGTGTCCCCATTTTCCCAAGATGATTTAGAGATTGCGAGTTTGCTATACATGAAGTGGGAATTGCCTGTCTTTTCCTTCACAGCTGGGGTGTTGACATAGTCATCTTCTGAAATGCTATTGCCATCCTTTAGCCACTGGACATCTAGATCCTCTGGAACAAAGTCTCGAATAAAGCAGGTGAGGATAAGCGAATTGCCAGGGATGGGAGGGTAGATATGGATGACGGGTGCGTTGCTCTTTTCTTTGTGAACATGGAAAGAAAAAAAAAAGATAACATCACATATTTCATTTAGGATAAAGTAATGGAACTGGGTCCATTACTTTATGAAATCATGATTTATTGTAGATTGCCAGGCTCCTAGGACTGGTTTACTTGTGAGATTGACAGATTAGCTACTGTCACTTACACAGAATTGACCTTGAGTTTATGTAGCATTGAAAATCCAAAATAGAACTTAATCTGGTAGAAGAAGCCCAGGCAATATGAGGAATTAATATTAGGAAGATCGGACATGGAAGTCCTCTAAAGAGCTGAACTTCAAAACCCCACTTGGCTACATCATTTCACCTAGTCCGTCTCGCTTTTGGTCGGTGATGTGCCTGTTATATCAGCAGTGCTTATGCTTGGAAGATTATTCCATCAAACGCTCTATAAGGATTTCCCCTTAGGCTTCCCCTATGATCCTTCAGTGCATCAAGAGGAAATCAAAGTCTATGCTGGGGACATTTCACATTGGGGATGGGATCATAGAGATTCTGTATCTCACTTTGTTCTAACTCCCGGCTTGGATTGGATCCAGGACATAAATAGTCCTGAATTCTCTACTCCTAGCAGTGCCAAGATTCTACATTATGGCTGTGCAGAAGCAAGGGATGCCATATCAGTGGCCCCAAGTGCCATGATATTAAGGGAGAGAACAAATGAAAGCTCCATGACTGGAGACTATTGACGTCAACCAAACATTCTGTTCTATATCTCCAGCCTTGTGAATTGCAAATGTTCTCATTTGTGCTTGGAGAACCACTTTGCTTCCTTCTTACCTCTCTTCTTGGAAATTGTCTTCACAATGGGACCCGGCAAACCTGGATATTCCACCGAACAGGTGAAAGTCTCTCCTGATTCCCAATCATGGGCAGACACAGGGAGGTGGCTGACAGCAGTGAAGGTCCCATTGTTTTCCTCGGTCACTGCCACCAATTCTGGATGTGTGGCGACTTCCTTCTCGCGTGACCAGCTTATTTTCAACCCCTCTTCCTGTTGTAGATTGACAACCACACAAGCAATCCTGCCATTTATGTTGATGTACAGATCTTTTGGTTGAGGGGGCAGAAGGTAGGTGGCAACCCCAGAGTAGAACTGACTGGTGGCATCTGTGGATACAAAATTCATGTCAGTGCTTACATCCCCCTCCCTTCTCCCTTAGTCCCTTATTCTAATTTGTTCTCTTCTTTCTAAACCAACTCTTGAGCTTCTGCAAGTAAAATGTTGCCTGTTTTTACTTCTGAATTGTCAAGTGTATGTCCTATTATCTGGACCCAACTGACTATGGCTTAGTGTTTCTCCCTTTCCAAAGACTTGACGTTACACTAAACCTAAAGCAAAGATCCCTCAGAATCATCTTTTAAAAGAAGAAAGCATGTTATTAGTAAAAAAAATATAGACTTCAATATCTATAACCAAGTAACTGGAACAAGGACAAGCCAAAAGGAACTGTTGTCTACTTGGACTAGTAATTTATGGTGAATATCTGTAGCTTGGGTGCAGGATGAGGGTAAAAGTTTGTTCTTCAAGCTTGTGGGTTGGTTTCCAAATGTTTGACCCCGCCCAATCAACTCGTGTAATTGGCCCCACCAGTTCACCTCCCAATGACCCTGACCTGATCACAAGAGCCATCATAAGATTTGCTAATGACTCACAGTTGACCCTCACTTGACACACCCATATAACAAGCCCTTATAAACAGAAGAACAATGACATCCCCTAAACCCCACTGAAGATGTTACTTGGCCTGGTAATGAAATGTTCAGAAACCAAACCACAAGCTTGGAAAACAAACCTCCTCCCTCCAATAATATGTCTCATAAGATGTTGTCCCATGGTCTGGTTGTTCTACTTATTGCTAAATTGCTCATTCCTATCTCTAGGTCCTTCATATTCATGATGAAATGCAGACTGTGGTTTGTATAATGGGGAATGGACAAAGAATCAAACATCAAGGAGGAGGATAGCTAATCCTTTTATGAGACCTTCCCTCTTATAGTGAAATCATACGGAATACTATGGGTAGTATTCCATATGTTACTCTATCGTAATTATGAAATTTTCCCCTTTTGAACATATGAATCTTGCTTCATCTATGCTGTGCCTGAAAAATTGCAATAGGGATTTTCTTGAATACCTAAATATTAGCTAGCAATGAAATTTGTTTTGTTAATCAAGTTTATTTGGAAATGGTATGGATTTCACTATAAGAGGGAAGGTCTCATAAAAGGATTAGCTATCCTCCACCTTGATGTTTGATTCTTTGTCCATTCCCCATTATACAAACCACAGTCTGCATTTCATCATGCATATGAAGGACCTAGAACTACTCATTTCAAAAGATCTAAGCCCCAGAGCTCACTGTAACAGCATTGCCAAAAAGTCATTAACAGTTGTTAACCTATTTTTGCGAAGCTTCTTCTCTGGTAACATTGAACTGCAAACCAGGGCATACAAAATCTTCACTAGACCAATTCTCAAATGCAGCTCATCTGCCTGGCATCCACACTGTATAACAGACATTAATACAACTGAGCAAGTCCAGAGGTATTTCATGAGAAGAGGACTCCACTCCTCTGCTCGCAATGCTACCAGGCTGGAAATTTTGGACCTGGACAGCCTAGAACTATGCTGCCTATAGTCTGATCTCAGCTTGGTACACAAAATTGTCTGCTACAATGTTCTACCTGTCAATGACTACTTCAGCTTCATTCACAATAACACATGGGCAAACAATAGATACAAACTCAAATTAAACAGCTCCAAACTCGATTGCAGAAAACACGACTTCAGCAACTTGCTACATCCTCAAACCCCCAAAACTTGAACCTTAAACTGACTATCGTGGACTTCACTCTATTCCTAAGAGGTCTGTAAGGGGGCGTGCATAAGCGGACCACTGTTCCTGTTCTACTGTTCCCATTTATTTGTACTCATTTATTATGTATATACTTATAGCTGTTTATACTTTTGTTTATATGTTATGTTCATTCTTATACTTGTTTTTCTCATACATGTTTGGCAAACTAAAGTAAATAAATAAATGATTACCTTCACATTTCCTGGTTCTGCTTTTCGTCCTTGTTTGGGATGCTTCGTGGGTTACCTGGCAGTAGTAAGTATTTCCTTGCAACCAATCTGCTTGGGTGATATTGACGACACTATTGGTACTGAAAGTGTACTTATTTGCATCACGCCTGGGAGGTTCAGTGTAGGGAACCAGTAATCCAGAGTGGCTGCCTACCAGCCAATCAACTTTAATCTCTTTGGGGTAGAAACCCTGAATTAAGCACACCAGTGCTATGTTTCCATCACTGCCTTTTGGGTTGCAAGAAGAATGGAGCAGATGGACTTCAGGAGCTACCGGTTCATAGGCTTCACATCCTGTGGGCATTAAGAGTGACTTTTATTCTTTAAGGATGACCTACCTGTTATTGCTTGAAGTCTCTTCCAATTTAGATGACCTTCTTAGAAATATTGAACAACAACAACAACAACAAGACCAATGAAAGACTGATTGCATTGATTAGCAGACTCTAAAATCAAACAGTCCTTAATTAATAATGTGGGATGCAGTGGCTCAGGGGCTAAGATGCTGAGCTCGTTGATCAGAAAGGTGGTTCGAATCCATAGCGCCATGTAATGGATTAAAGCTCCTGTTACTTGTCCCAGCTTCTGCCAATCTAGCAGTTTGAAAGCATGTAAAATGCCAGTAGAAAAATAGGGACCACTTTGGTGGGAAGGGAACAGTGTTCCGTGCTCCTTCGGCATTTAGTCATGACGGCCACATCACCACAGAGATGTCTTTGGAAAGCGCTGACTCTTCAGTTTTGTAACAGAGATGAGCACCACCACATAGAGCTGGAAACAACTAGCACAAAGCAAGGGGAACCTTTACCTTTAAATAATATTAATATTTAATTAATTATTATTAATATCTAATTATTAACACTAATATTTCATTATTATTAATATTTAATTAATATTAATAACTTTAGACCCCTCACATCTTGGACATAGATTGTTTCAACTTCAAAACAACACTATAGGGCACTGCACGCCAGAACAACTAGACACAAGGACAGTTTTCCCCCCGAATGCCATCACACTGCTAAACAACTAATTCCCACAATAGTGTCAAACTATTTCTCCTCCTTGTGTGTCCAATCACACTTGGCCAATAAAGAATTCTATTCTATTCTATTCTATTCTATTCTATTCTATTCTATTCTATTCTATTCTATTCTATTCTATTCTATTCTATTTTGATTCAACTATTCTTGTCCTATTTGCCCTTTGGCTTAATGATCCCATGGTTTAAAGTGATGGAGCAGTGGTTAGAGTGTAGTTCTGCAAGCTACTTCTGCTGCCTGCCAGCTGCCTACAATTTGGCAGTTTGAATCTCAGCAGGCTCAAGGTTGACTCAGCCTTCCATCCTTCCCAGGTGGATAAAATTATCACCTAAATTCTTGGGGACAATATTCTGACTCTGTAAACCGCTTAGAGAGGCCTGTAGAGCACTGTAAAGTGGCATAAAAGTCTAAGCACTCAAAATTTTTGCTACTGGTTCTTCAGAACGTGTCAGAACCTGCTGAATACCACCTCTGATTTTAATAGACATGAAAAATACTGTCCCTTCATCATTAAAATTCCAATGGCTTAATTGGATTTTCCCTTCTTCAGATAGAGAAAGTTCCAAATCTTTTCTCTTCACACCAATCACCTGATTCTTGCAAATCACATTGGAAATATCCCATTTTGAGCTATTTTTTTTTCTACTGTAGGACTTTTGGTCCCAAACAGAAATCTAATATTATCCTGAATACTGTGTACTTTCTGCTGCCCCCTGATTGTCATACTTAGGGATTGATTTTGTCTTTGACTAATCAACTGCCCTTGGAAAGGAAAAAAAGATAAGAGCAATTTTGCCAGACTTACGCTCAATGTTTTTGTTAATTCTGGTGTTGGTGGCAGCATGCTCCACGTTGCAGTGGAATGACTCAGATTCCCACTGGCTGATGGGAATGGTGAGCAGGCTGATGTGAGTATACTGGCCAGATGAATGAACTGGAGGAAAGTGTTGGATTCCACTAGTGATGGCACCTGAATTCCATTGCACTGTGGCTGGTTCAGGAAAGTAGCTTTTGACGAGACAACCGATGCTAACATTGGAGTCTGTGGAAGTTGCCCCAGTCACTTGGGTTCCATCACTAGAACTCAATGGGAACACAGCGGGGGCTTTGGGAGTTTCTGTAGGGAAAGATAAAGACAAGATGATGAAAATGGGGTAGATATACCCTCTAATGGACCTGGGAGCTTCTAGAAAATTATTCTACCCCAGGGTTTTTCACACTTGGCAACTTTTAGATGGGTGGATTTCAACTCCTAGAATTCTCCATTGGCTGGAAAATTCTGGAAGTTTGTCCAAACATCTTAAGGGTGCCAAGTTTGACAATCACTGCTCCATACTACTTATGTAAGTTTATGGAGAGAGAATTTGCGAGAAACAGTGGCCCTGCCATTCCGATTGGATTCTCCAAATAGATTTCATTAGGGAGATAAATGTAGAATAGCACTCTGGTGCCATTGGAGAGTTCCACCATCTGGAATCACCTGAAATACAAAATTTAATTAGTGCATGGAAGACAACTCAAGCATATTTGTACATTATGAGGTGTAGAATTTTCTTTTAAGTAAAGCAAAATTGAGGTTATTCATTTGCTGAAATTTGCAATATATCCACACCCTTGTTTCTCCTTAAGCCCTTGGTTTCAGAACTTGGAATGCGAATGCAGGTTGTCCTCAATTTACTACAACTCATTTAGTGTCCATTCAAAGTTACAATGGTGACTTATGACTGTTTTTCACACTTACGAAATTGATCATGTGATCAAATTTGGGCACTTGGAAACTGGCTCATATTTATGATGTTTGCAGTGTCCTGAGGTCATAGGATCACCTTTTGCTACCTTCTGACAAGTAAAGTCAATGAGGAAGACGGATTCACAACAACCATGTTACTAACTTCAAAAGAACTGTGGTGATTTATTTAACGACTATGACCAGAAAGGTTGTAAAATGGGGCCAAAGTCACTTAACAACTGTCTCACTTAGCTACAATTTTGGGCTCAGTTATTGTAATTCAAGGGTTCCCTGTAGCCTGCATATAAGGAAAGTTTAGCTTTTTGTGTTCCAAGTAGGTACATACAGTTAGACAGAAGGTGTTATATATTGTTCCATAAATGAAGTTAAGGCAACGATATGATGAATATAAGGAGTGATGCCATATTTTTGTAGTAAAGGACAAAGGTAAAGTGAAAGAAGAAGATTTTGTTTCACACAAGAGGCACAGAATTTAAAGGAAATGCTATGAAGCCTCTTCCATGTGAAGGGAAAATGGGTTTTGAATTGAAGCTTCCTGTATTTTCTCCCAAAGATACTTTTTCAAGAGGGAACTGGACCTTCTGGTTTTTCTTGGAAGACATTTTGCTTCTCATCCAAGAAGCTTCTTTAGCTCTAAGGAAGCTTCTTGGATGAGAAGTTTAAGGTCTTCCAAGAAAAACCAGAGAGACCAGTTGCCTCTTAAAAAAGCTCCTTTGGGACAACTATGACCTGAATGAATGAGAACCTCCATAGACACTTCTCTATTTTATTTTATTAAACCAATTTATCACCCATCTTACAGGTGACTCCCCTACCAACAAACACTCTCCAAACCTTATGCTTTCAGTTAAGAAGGTCAACTCAATCTCATTTCTACTGATGGACAAAGCAGATCCCATTGGAGGCAAATCCTATAATGTCTCAGTCTGAAAGTTTCATTTCAAAGGCTGAACATTTCATTTTCAGTGACATGCATGCCTTTGAAGGCAATTTAGCAGAAAGAGAAAACTTTGGGGAAGAGGTAACAGCAACATCTATTAAAGGGAAAGAAGCACATAATGACAAGCTGATAAAAATCTATGGCACAAAACAGAAGTTCACTTTAGCTTAGACACATCACAGATCAAGACACAGAGCACCAATATGAAAGATGCTTTCTTGAAGAAGGAAAGGGAAGAAAAAGAGCCAAGTACCTCTCCACCAGCAGTCAGCATCCAAATGAGTATGGATTAACTCCAAGATTAACATCAGACTAAGAATCAAATAAACAACATCCAATCAAGGAACCGCTACACAAGCTAATAGTAAACAGCCCAACCAAAAAAACCTATCAAGATGACTAGAATATAAACTGAGAGCATATCCCACTCCATACTACACTGATGATGTTACCTAATTGGGTAATGAAATGTCTGCAAGAAATCAACCAAGCTCAGAGACCACCAAGGACCCCTCATAGGACAAGAAAACCCACTCAGTCAATGTACACTCCCATCTTCAAAACCTAAGTGTTAGTTCCTCTTATTCAGCTCCATTTTTGATTATCATAGCCCTGCATGGTTTAAGTAAAGAAGCAAGAAAGTTGCGATGGAAAAAAATAGAGCACGGATCACTGTGTGCAAAACATCTGCAGTAAAATGGATAAATTTAGATTCCACTTCCATTTGTTATTTTTTGAATTCAAGATGTGGAAGATTCTCTATCATTTTTGTTATCAGTTTTGTGGGAGTTCAGAAACAATATCACCATCACTAAACGTTGAGTAATTTTTCTTTCCCAATAGATGTACTATTTTAAATCGTTCATCTGGTAGAACAAGACAATTTCATCTAACTGTGCCAGGATACAAACAACCAGACAGTTAGTTTGGGGCTTTGGAGATCAACCTGAAATCCTATCAAAGGCCATCTGAATTCAAACTGAAGCTAAAGACAAAGGAACAAATTAAAAAAAAGGACAGAATTGGCATTTCTGAACTTAACTTTCCCCCAGTAACTTGAATTTCAACATCTTTATCCATGAAATTTGTTTGAATCTTTATCCATGTTTCTTTCAAACCACTCTAGCCTCATTTATTATCTATACTGGTTGATATTTCCCCAGCAATAGGCTGACATAAATGTCATGTTTCACAGGATACTGGGACTTTGGCCAATTTTCAGAGAGAAAAATAATCTTAACCTCGTGAGGCTGTGAACAGATGGATAGTTCATGAGTCCAACAATACACAATTCCTGAGAAAGAGAAAGATTAGTCTAGCTCTGATGGGGATAGCAAGTTAAATTCTTGTGATTTTCTATGGTGTTGAGCAACAGTGCCTTGTACTTGTTATCAAGGGTCATGCTAGGGATAAGGATGATGGGAGTTACAGTGCAATATATTGCAAAATTCTATTACAGGTGAAAAGTGTCAATTTACAAGAACTGTTCTGCTTTTATCTGGCAGTAAACAAGGACCCTCATTGTGGGAGTTAAGGATTTGACTTTTAGCTAGGATTCAGTTGTTCTGATGGGTAAAATTTCCCCTTTGGTTTTAACTCCTTGGTACAATCTAGTCCCTAATCTACAGGACCCCGATCTAGAATCTGAGATGTCCCAGTAAAAATAGCACTAGGCTAACCTTATGTGTTAGGCCCTTTATATCTCCTCAGCCTCTTTCGTGCTTTCTTACACACTTCCATTGTTAAACATGGAGGAACTAAGGTTGCTAATCACTTTTGCTAACCATCCATACCTCTCTACAGGCCTTAGCAAGCCATCTATCAGTAGGACAAGAAACAAGGGATGGAAACTAATCAAGGAGAGAAGCAACATGGAATTAAGGAGAAACTTCCTAACAGGGGGGACAATTATCCAGTGGAACAACTTGCCTCCAGACATTGTGGGTTCTTCATCACTGGAGGTTTTTAAGAAGAGATTGGAGAGCCACTTGTCTGAAATGGTAGAAGGTCTCCTGCCAGGGCCGGGGGCTGGACTGCAAGACCTCCTAGGTCCCTTCCAGCTCTATTTTGAATCATCCTATGAATGTCCCTCTTTGAATAGCTATTGCCTACTGACCTTCCTGCTGCTACCGGCAAAGGAGCAAGTTGAATTATGATTTATTTCTTATTTAAGTGGCAGTCCTAAATAAAACCAAGACTCGCCTTGCTTCCACCTTCTTGAACCCAGTTAATCATCTGGGGGATTAGAGATTGCCTAAATCAGGCATGTCCAAATTCCGACCCGGGGCCAATTGTAGCCCGTTTTCAAATTTTGAGCAGCCCGCAGCCTCTTTTCCCCACCGGCTCAGCCTGTTACTCATCACTGCCAGCCGGCATTTAATGTTAATGGTTCAAAGAATGTCGGGCTGAATGGTCGGCCCCCACACATTTTCACCTCACCAAAACTGGCCTTACTTGCAAAAAGTTTGGACACCTCTGGCCTAAATGAAGTCTTGCCCTGCCATACGGTTTCTCCTGCACCTAGATGGTGCCCAAAACCTTCCCAGCCAACCCTCATTCTGATAACCAGCATCCTTGCAACCGATCCCACTCCATTAATTTTCCACCTGAAATCTGCCTGGGCTCATGCTTTGTCCTTTCCTGTAGCTTCACTGCAGCCTAACATTAATTTGGGAGGACAGAAACATTCTGCAGCAGCCCAGAAATTCCTCCAGCTCACCTGAACAGAACCATCTTTGAGGAACAGCAAGGCACACCTGGGAATTAAAACCTTTCTGCTGGAAGCTTTTCTCATCATGAATGAATCCTAAATTTAGCAAAGGATGGGTTTTTAAAGGCATTTCCTTTAGAATCTCCCAGATGTGAGCAGGCACTGAACGTTCATTTAAGTTGCCTCTTTGCTCTTCACTAGCTTGTTTGAACCTAAAATACCCATAAAAGAACCCAAAAGGTTACAGATGTGCCCAGGGCACATAGCAGGTAACCAGTTAGTTTCCTTCTCCTTACCAACTGATCTGAAGCGAGCAGCAAGCTTCCTTACCTACTCAACTCAGAAGTGGAGAATTTTTGGAGTGAGCTTTCGGCTGGAACCTAATTCCAAAATTTTTTTCCAGTTCCTGAACTTCAAACCTATCCTCTCCTAACTGAAATGGCAGGCTTGGCAATGGGATAATATTCTTACTCCTTGCTACTTTCTCTAAACTCTAGCATTAATCAGAAAGCTCGTAGCTGGGCTCCTGGCTGAGAGTATAAACCCATATAGCCCGTTTCTACTCACTAGCTTGATTAAATTCTGAATACAGCTAGGATAGCAAATGGCACAGTGAAGGATCCAATATGGAATGGGTTTTCTTTTTCCTAACACTCAAGCCCAAAGTAACAGATCTCCCAGCTGAGTTACCCCAAGACACCCATACCCTAGAATTCAAATTTGAGACCAAGAACTACCAGTCGAGGATCAAGCTTGGAGTGGTTGTTGAGTTACTTCATCCTAGTCCTCAGCTGAAGCTACCAATTCTCTCCTTTGATTTTCACTTGCAGAACCCCCCAAATGAGCTACCCCAAGGCATACGTATCCTAGAATTCAAATTTAGGATCAGGAACTATCAGTTGAGGTAGAGAAAGCTTGGAGCAAATGTTGAGTTAGTTCATCCTAGCTCTCAGCTGAGGTTACCAAATCTCTCCTTTGATTTTCACTAGCAGAACCTCCCAGATAAGCTACTCCAAGGTACCCATATCCTAGAGTTCAAATTTAGCATCAAGAACTACCAGTTGATGTAATGAAAGCTTGGAGCAGATGTTGAGTTAATTCATCCTAACTCTCAGCTGGGGCTATCAATTCTCTCCTTTGATTTTCACTAGCAGAACCTGGAGTTGTTTGCTATGGTCTAAACTTCCCAATCAAATATCAGGACTGTGGGGTTATTTAGGTGATCCTACTACTGCACCTTCAGCTTGTCTCCTCCTGCACATTGTGTGCTAAAATATATTTCAGTTGAGTTTGGTTGAGGCTTCAGCTCCAGGATCTTCCAATTAATAGAATAGGATTGAATAAGAATTAGAATTAGAAGAGAAGAGAGTTAGAAGAGAAGGAGAAGAAAATAAGAAGAGTTGGAAGTCTTCTAGTCCAAATCCTGTCAAGCAGGAGATCCTACACCTTTTGAGACAAATGGTTGTCCAATCTCTTCTTAAAAACTTCCAGTGTTGGAGCACTCACGACTTCTGGAACCAAGTTATTTCACCAATTAATTGTTCTAACTGTCAGGAAATTTCTCCTTAGTTCTAGGTTGCTTCTCTCCTTGATTAGTTTGATTGAATAAATCTTATAAATGAATCTCCTAACCTGAAATAGAGTATCTGCCAAACCCAACTGAAGTTAGACTATAATCTGGAACACGAAGACTTCTGGTAGTAACTACAAATTGCCCAGTTTCCAATTGCAAGGCTCACCTGAAATCTTAAGGATTGGGATGGAATGCAACTACCTGATAAATTGTTCTAAGCCTGATGGACCAATAGTTTTCAATCTAGTTCTTTCATTGGTGAGATAGGCGGAAGACCAAGTTTTACAATTCAGTAACTGTATGGAAATGTGGATCTCAAGTTCTCTTAATTTTCTATATTTTCATCTTCCAAAGCCCCAGATTTTGATGAATATTGTACTTACCAAGCCAAGTGCCAGCCTCAGTTCAGTGTCAATCTATGTCTCAGAACTTTCCCCTTACTTTGTTCTTAAAAGAATGTCCCTCCAAAATATTTTATTTTCCAACTAGTCATGTTCTTTGAGCTAGCGTGAAGGTGTGAACAGAAAACAACAACCAGGCCCCGTGGGTCCAAGAGATATATTTGGGATCCAAAAGGTGCCATCATAAAAGCAATAAAAAGCATTAACCACAGAGAACTTCCCCATTTCCTGCCTTTGGTTGTCTATTTTCAAAGTCCAAAAGTTTCATCGCTAGGCAAGGCAAAGCTGTTGAAGCCAACTTGAACAAAAAATCCTAATCTAGGGGATAAGGGTAATCCAGGGAAAAGAAGGATTGGGTGGTGGTAGTGGAGACATGATAGGATATTCCAGTATTTGTGGGGCTGCCACAAAAAAGAGAGGGTCAACTTATTTTCCAAAGCACCAGAAAGCAGGACAAGAAACAATGGACATAAACTAATCAAGGAAAGAAACAATCTGGACTTGAGAAGCTAACTAACGGTGAGGACAATTAACCAATGGAACAGCTTGCCACCAGAAGTTGTGGGTGCTCCATCTTTGGACATTTTAAAGAAGAGATTGGACAAGCACCTATCTGACACATTATAGGGTTTCCTGCTTGAACAGGGGGTTGGACTAGAAGACTTCCAAGGTCCATTCCAGCTCTATTCTGATGGATCCTGGTTGATTCCCATTCCACCAGGCCCCCAAATCTCTTCCTCACTTACATTTCAAATAACTAGGGATCACCATTTTGGCCAGGTCATGTTTTTGTAAGTCATAATTGCTGCCTCCTTGGAGTGGCCATCATTTTCAGCACTCTTGCAACGCCTTAATGTGGTATGTACAGTGCTAGAGCTGTGAAGACCATGTTGCCAATGAAACAGTTTGTCCGTAGTGGCCTCATGGAAATAGTTGTTATTTTGTTCCACCCATATGAGTGTTCCAAAATGGTGGCTGCTTCTGGGTTGCTATCTTAACTCATGCCTACTAAGCTTAACATCTATAGATGAAGATGGTAATGATGATGATGATGATGAAGATGATGATGACCTTCTCAACCTTCCCCAACCCAATGTCCTTCAGAACATCAGGGCTGAAACTGCTGGAGAACCACAGCAAATATTGCCATGCTTAGCTGAAGATATTGGGCAGGTGGATTGGAGGCAGCAGAGTTGGTGGTAGACTATCCTTGAACTGCAAAGGACATTGGGAAGGCAGACATGAGTTTGGGTACAATTGGCAAATGAGCTGGATGATCCACCCTTTCAATACCTCTCAGCACAGTTGCCATGTGCTCATCTCCTTCTGTCCTCAGTCTCTCTGAAGCCACCATGGTCCTCTAGTCTTGATACTCTCCTCAGGTCTTCTTTTGCAGGCTGCTGGTAACCCATATTGACATTGCAAGGAGAAGAAAGTTGATGCTTCTGCCTCATCCAAGAATGGAGCAATCCAACGGCTTCAAGAGATTGGATGGTATTGTGGTGAGCAGAGTGTAGAGAAAAAGGACCACGAGAGAAAGGACCACTTGTAGTCCAATTTTCTGGAGCCCAGTGGACCTAGGTATATAGTGGATCTTTGTGTCTCATAAATGACATCATTATATTATTCCTTCAAAGTAAATTGCATGACATTAGTAGCTCCTTTGCACCTCACACACTTGTAGTTTATTTCAGTTTCTCTTTATTATTTTCTAGAAAATACAACGAAGCTGACAAAAATATAGAATATGAAGTACAACAGTGCTTCCAGTCTGGAATCTGAGAACAGTGACTTTGGGGAAAGGCAGTGATAGGAGCAATAAGATACAGATAAAGATTAACAAAGTTGGAAGGGACCATCTAGTTCAAACCCCTGCCCAAGCAGAAGACCCTACACTATTTCAGACAAATGGCAATCTAGTCTCTTCTTGAAAGCTCTTTATTATTTTCTAGCAAATACAATGAAGATGACAAAAATATAGAATATGAAGAATAGCAACAGTGCTTCCCATCTGGAATCCAACTGCAGTAACATTGGGGAAAGGCAGCAATAGGAACAATAAGAGTCACAAAATATCATGGGACAAGGCTGTATCTATGTTACTATTAATTAAATATAAGGAAATCACACATTCTTTCTATTGGCTGATCTAAGACCATTGGAGAGACTGAGGATATATTAAAGGTGATA